GCGACGGATTCACCCCAAACTTTGTGTGTTGGGGTTTTAGAATATGTAGATCAAGTTCAACAGAGCGGATCATCCACAATATCGCTCAATATGTGATTTTAGAGGCGTCAATGAGAAAATCCCCTCCTGATGACAATGATACCCATAATCTCTCTCTCTCTCTCTCTCTCTCTCTCATCTATATATAAATATAATATATATATATATATATATATATATATATATATATATATATATATATATATATATATATATATATTATATATATATATATAATATATATAACACACACCACACAATATATAGTAACTAATAATATGGCCAAATTTTCGTGAGATGGTGAGATGAAATATTATCATGAGATGAACTAACCCGGTCATTTAATTGGTGATATGTAGGGTACACATTGTTCAAAACATCGTGAAATGTATATGACCAAATTTTAGTATACTTTGGAGTATTATAGAACATGAATCAAGCAAGTTTAATATGTCGAATTTTCAGACAGCTTAATAGTCGCCCTTTTAGCATGTAGCTAAACTAATAATTAGAAAATCTAAAATGATATAGTTATTTCTACATATAGATTATTATAATGCAAATCACGATGGCCGGTGCTAGTCATCGTTCCTGGATGGCTATTGGGCCACCTCACAATCTAATTTTATCATTGTTCAATGTGTGCGTAAACATTTAGGTACCGTTTGGCAAAGTGTTAAGTGAGGGGTTAAGGAGACTTAACCCTTTCTTAACCTACCAAACACAGCAAATCTATATAAGGGTTAAAGTGAGTAATTAATCCTTCATAATTTGCCAAACATAAAAAATATAGAAGGGTTAAGTTAACCCATCTAGAGGGGTTAAAATGAGTTAATCCCTCAAAATGAGGGGTTTACTAATACTCCTATTTAGATGGAATAGGAGTTAACCCTTCTAATTATAAAGAAAATAGTCAAAATTATTGTTATTCCCAAACACTAAAACTGATCATAAGGGCTAAAATAAAACTTATTTAACGGGTTAATAATTTAGTCATTCGGATTATCAAATATGCTAAGTACATTAATCCTTCTCTTTAACCTCTCTTCATTAACCCTTTGCCAAGCGGGGCCTTAATGTCACACATCAATTATAGTAAATTTAGAATATTTAACATTTATAAGTCGTAATCTTACAACTCGCTTTTATGATGGAAATCATTTAAAGACATGATTAACAAAGTATTTTTGTTTAATGTTTTTCTCAATGAAACTTCCATTTACCAGTTTTTACAAATGGTATAAGTAAATGATGTTTTTAATTTTAAATATAGCTAGTATAACTTGATGATGGAATATTTAACACGTCTATCATAGTAAAATTAGAATATTTAACATTCATAAGTCCTAATCCTTACAACACACTTTTATAAAGACACGATTAACAAAATATTTGTATTTACTGTTTTTCTATATGCATGAAACTTCCATTTACCAGTTTTTACAAATGGTATATATATAGATGTTGTTTTAATTTCGAAGATATTCATTTGATGGTGATGTAGCTAGTATCACTTGATGAATAGTCAAGGCCAGCTCAAAAGGGGGTCCATTTATTCAAGAATTCTCTCAACGTTTGGTTGGACATTAATGTGCAATTACCTCTTTTGCAACTACTTTCCCATTATATTTATTTCATGCATATTTTTTTTGAAAGGATATTTCATGCATATTTCAAACTTCAAACTTGGACAATGAGAGTGATCTTTTCTGTAAAAACACATAAAAATACATCAATACTTATTGCCTTGATGGGAAATCAGATGTTCACATTTCAAACTTGAGAAGGACGATTTTGATAAACCCCTGAACGTCAGGGGCCTTTGAACGAAATTCCCTTTAATTACATAAATAAACAATTCCATTCCAAACTAAAAAAAAATATTTTAATTATAGCTGTCATAAATTAGAAATGTTAGGGGCACACCTCAAGTCACATCTCCAACTACACCTCCCCCTCTCATTCGCTACAGTACTCCGGACCCCACATGAGTGTTTCAAATTTAAAAACTCATGTGGAGCCCGGAGTACTGTAGCGAATGAGAGGGGGAGGTGTGGTTGGAGGTGTGGTTTGGGGTGTGCCCCTAACACCACTCGTCATAAATAAGGGATTGTGATCCGATAGTGTCATTACCTGTCAGAGTTAAGATGAGAGGATCCAGACTTGAAATAGCTAGCTTAAAAATATATTATATAAAATATAATATAACCAAAAAAAAAAAAAATCCAATGAGATAAAAAAAAGATAAACTTATACCTGTAATGATTTATAGTTGAGTAAATCTCAACAATCACTTGCTTAGATCGGACGGCGGAACTCCATACCCCTCTAAATATTCCCCCCAATTTTACTCACAAATTACCAATTTTACCAAAACCTTTAAAAAAAGGGAAAAAAATAAAAAATAAAAAATAAAAAAGAAGAAATAAACAAAAAGAAGTATGTTTATATTGAAAATATACATGATCATAAGTATCAAATACTATCTCAACACTTTCGTTCTGTCTCTATTTCAAATCTCTTGCTCCCTGATCTGAACGAAGAAAGGAAAAAAAAGGAGCGATCTTTTCTCGATCTAAACAAGTAAGTTCTCTCTTTGGTCCTTGCCTTCCTAATTTCTCTCGCAAATCTTTTTTGTTTAATTTGCTGGGTTGATCTCGCGGTATAATATAATTTTATTTTTATTTTTTCGTTTTTTTTTCCGCTATTTGTAGTTGGGTTCATTTTTGAGGTTTGATCCAATGACGGCTGAGACCGGAGAGCGCAACGGTAAGATCAATGGATCGACGGTTGATTCCGAGGCGAAGAGAGATATGAAGGATGAGGGCAATGGAGGGGAGGTCGGTGGATCTTTTGTGATTGTGAACGGAGATTCCAGCGACCACTCCGATAGAGATCTCGACGCCGAGGGAAAGAAGTTGGATCCGAAGTCGAAGGAGGAAAGTAGGGCAAACGAGGAGGATTTAGTCAATGGTGATGAAAAATTGAGTGAAGAGAACGGATCAGGATCTGATATCAAAGTAGAAGAAGGTAGGGAAATAGAAACGGAAGAAAAATTGGATTTTGATGCGCAATTAGCGCCGGAGGAGGTCGAGGGCGATAATGTGAAGGAGTTAGAGATTGGAAAGGAAGAAACTTTGGAAGCTGTAACCGGAGAAGAAGAAAATTCCGACGCCCAGTTAGAGGGAGTGGAAGTCGAGGGTGATGATATTAAGGAACAAGAGATTGGAAAGGAGGAAACTTTGGTATTTGGTTCTGGGTCAGAGGTCAAAATTGTGCATGAGGAGGAGGAAAAAGATGCAAATGATGAGACTGTGGTTCAAAAGGATTTAGGATCAATAGTAGAGCCCGAAACTGTTATAACAGAGACCGGTCGCTTAGAGGAATCAACGTCAGCTTCTCCAGTGGAAGAAGAGGAGAAGCCCGTGTCTGACGAAGATGTTGAAGAAGGGCAGAAGACTGTGCACATGGTTGGAGAAACTGAAAATTCAGCAGAAATAGATTCTGCTGTTGAAGCTGAGCCAAAACCGGGGACTCCCACTGTCGTTGAGGAGACTGACAATTCAGTAGAAGTAGAACCAGAACAGGAACCGGACATTGTGGTTGAAGACACCGAGAATTCAGTAGAAGTAGAACAGGAAAAGGAGCCCGGCGTTGTGGTTGAAGAGGCTGAAAAATTAGCGGCACCAGAATCAGCTGTTATTGAAGTGGAACTGGATAAGGAGCCAAACACAGGGGTTGAAGACAGTGAAACTGTAGCAGATTTAGGATCGGCTGTTGAAGTTGAACTGAAGCAGGGTATGGGTATGGTGGTTGAAGAGATGGACAAATCTGAAGTAGAAAAGAAGGACGATAATGTTGTGGTTGAAGAGAACAATAGCCAAGATGAAACTGGATCAGCTGTTGAAGTGGAACCTGCACAGGAGCCTGAGACCGTGCCAGAAGCGGCTGATAAAGTTGAAGCAGAAGAAGAGACAAAGGAGCCCGAGGAAGTGGTTGCAGTAAGTCCATCATATAAGCATATTCTTCTTAGGGTATCACCGATACAAAATGCTGATGTCAACGCACCTAGAAATGAATCTTCAGGTCAGGTTGACGCAGAAACCAGCGGCGTGAAGGATGAGTTAAATGATGAAACTAGAAATATTAATTTAGAGGGGTCTGACATCCTCCATGTTGCTCAGAATGAACTGGTTGAAGAAGTTAGTAGTTCCAATGATGATGTGCAGCTGGAAGTTAGCTACGGAGACATTGTTCCATCAGAATCCACAATTGATACTTCCAGTGAAGTTATCGAGCCTCGCTCATCTGGTTCTGTACCTTCTGCAGATCGAGATGTACAAGCTGAAGAACTTTGTCCCAACAAAGATACGGAGGCAGAAACAAAGGATTCCATTACAGATGTTGAAACAAATGAAGATGTAGCCGCTGAAAGACTGAAAGTAGAATCTGAGAGTGTACCTGAATCTGATGAAGGTAGTGAATCTGTGGTCAGTACTATTGAAGGGGACCAATCAACAAGTAAGGATGATGAAGAAGAACCTAGCCATGAGCAATCTCAAGTTGCCGAAACGATTCAAGCTCCTCCTGAGACCCGTGTTGTGAAACGACATCGAGTCTATATGATTAAAGTCCCTAGGTTCATTGATGATGAACTCCAGAAGAAAATTTTGGATGCTAGCAAAATAGTAGAAGAGAAAACCAACATCAGAGATTCCATTGGCAAAGATATTCAAAAGAAAATGGTAAATGCATACTGCACATATATTAGTCTTAACCATTTAAACACTTATGGCTAATGCTTTATTATATGTATATTTAGGGTGATGTGCGAAAAAGCTCATTAAATTACCATGCTGTACTGGCTGAAGAGAAGAGCGTACGAGGCTCAATAAATGCCATACGCCAAAAAATGGAGAGAGTTCAGGAGTCAATCAACAGGATAAATAATGCAAATTCAATAGCGGACCTTGATGAAAAGGTGCAAAGTTTTGCAGCATGCTCATTCAGATCATTCACGTACTTTGACCCTTTTCTTCTTTTTCATTATCTTCATTGCTTTTCCTTTGCTTCTTGTTTTGGTGTCCACAGATACGTCAAATGGTCCATAGGCAGCAGCATGAGACCATGTCATTGAAACAAGAAAAGCAATATATAAGTGACATAAAACAGATGAAGCGCCTTCGCGAACAACTTTCTTTAAGAAAGGCCCCGCAGGAACAAATTGAGGAGGCACTCAACCAAAGAGATGAGATTGAAACACAATTTAAGGTACTGTTTGTTACTTTGAAGCATCTTTATGTTGAGGGAATAGTATTCCATCTAATGTGCTTCTACCTGTTACCTCTTGCATGTAGGATTTGAAGAAACAATTAGATTCACAAAGGGCTGCTTTATTGTCAGCTGAAAGCAAAACAAAATCTGCACGAAAAGAATATGGGGATGAAGATCAATGCTTAAAGAAGTTGAAGGAAAAGTATAATGTAGCTGATGGGGTTAGGCAAGAAGCATATCTAGAATTGAGAAAACTCAGAAACCAAGCCACTGAGAAGGTGATTTTTAAATATTTTTGGCTATCAACTACTACTTTTGTAGTATAAGGTGATTAGTTCTCTTACGAATATAATGCTTTTTGCTTGCTGATTATAATTTATTAGGTGCATATCTTCAACCCTTTCCCTGGCTATGGCGAAAATTTATTCGGAACTATTTGTGCACTTTTTACCTGTGACCTTTCCATCACAACTGTCACTTTTCAACTGTTGTTCCTATCATTTTGTTTTTTCAATCGATAAGGTAGATAGTTAACCTCTCACAATTGGGAAGAAGCTGCTATATGTTTATGTTGTATCTCAAACTCTCAATCACAAGCGGGCACTATAATGAGTCAATGACAGTGGAAATTTCACATCAGACGCCCACTATTTCTTCCTATGTGCTGCTATACTTTTATGTCACTCCAGAACTATAATTGAAAAAAAAAACTTATCTTCTTGCTCGGTAGAGCTGAAAACTTTGAGAGTCCTTGTAGATGTGTCTTTTTTTCATGTTTATGTTATTTTTTCCAAATAATTCTCAATTTCTAAAGAAAAAAAATGAATGTTTTGTAACGGAATACAAAAAGACCAAGTTCAAATTTACTAAGGATAGATTCCTCTGTCCAAAATTTTCTGTTGCTTCTGTTAGGTGAATGCTGAAACTTGATATCTAAATTTAAACGTCTATCCATGTAGTCATTTTATAATAGCAAGAAACGGAGATATAAAGATATTATTCCTAAACATAAATCGCCGTGTTGTTAATAGACCTCAGTGGGTGCATGGAGCATGAATGGACCTTCACCCGATTGAACACATTGTTGAGAAACAAAGCACATCCGTTTCATTTAAGCCTTGAGCAACTGATAATTCTGCGAGTTTATGGTACATATTGCTCCATTATCTTTCACTATCTTTATATACTCAGAGATACATAATTATTCATAGAAATAACTCCAGCCCATAGAAGATGGCTTACTTTGATTGGCCGCAATTTGGTGTGTCAAAATTAGACATCTTGAGCCTTTTCATTCCTATATTTCTTGTAGGTGTTAAACTTATAGCTAGGTGTATTATAAAAGAAAGTGTCATCCATCAAGTTAATTTTTTGCTTATTCTTTATTTTGAAATGTCTTCTTGGATGAATCAGTAGACTCGCCCTTGATTACTACATTATGTACAAATATAGAATCCAAAAGCCTGAGAAATATATTGTTCGAACCACCTTCATTCGTTAGCATCTAGATCAATTTATTTGTAGAAACTTTAATTGCGGACACTAGATAAATATTGAACACTGTGGGACACTGAGAGAAGTGCTTTTTATAGATCTACGTTTCAAAAGAAAAAGAGTTTTGTCCTGCTTCGATACACACGTCCTCAGGAATTGCATGAAACAGCTTGCATTTCTGAGGATTCTAAATCATCTTGGGGTAAGACATCAATCTGAGGAAAAAATCTTACTTAAATCTAAGGAAAAGTTCTTACATAATGTGAAACCTTTTGTGGAAAGAATAGGTTCAACCACTTCCTTTCATCTCATTTCAACTGTTCATTTCTTTTCACTCTTTTTATCAATCCACTAGGAAAGGATAAATATCTAGTTGGAGAAAAAGTTAAAATTTGGTATGAAAAATCCACCTGCTTATCTATTGGAGCATATAATCTCAAGGGTTTTCTGTTTCTGGGTATTATTTTCCTGGGGATTTTTGAAACCTGAACGATATGCTATGGCAAACTTCCAGTCTATCCAAACAGTGCTCACCAAAGGATGCAGCTGCTGTGCTTAGATTCTCACTAAGCAGGGTTTATGATACTTGAAAAAAGCATGATGAGATAAACAAGTCTGGGGACTCAAGAGAATTTACTTAGATTGTTGATGTAGTGTAAGCAAGGTGATAGATTAGCTTAAATCTCTTTCATCTTAAGGACTATGATGATAGAAAAATATTACGGTTACTGGTATATTGTTGTTGAAGCTCTGGATGCTTTAGCCTCCCAGGAGTGAAAAATCTTAAAGACTATGAGTGAATCTTTTTAATCTCAAACACCATGACAGAAAACTATTACAGATATTGGGATATGATTGTTGGTGCGACTAGGCTGTTTTGGCAGCTCTTTGGTGATTTATGAATATATGATGCTGTTGGTCTATATCAATCACTTATTGCTTAATTGCTTTCAAGTTTCCTTCCTCTTTACATTTTTGTTTGTCTTTATTTGATCTACCTCTAGGTCCTCTATGTTATCAAGTCTTGCAATATTTTAAATGAATAGTTTCAGTACTCTCTTCAAATTGATTATTAACTTGTTATGGCATAAAAAAGAGTCAGCAAATTCACTTAGCAAACTCTGATCCAATTATGACAAACTTGAAGCCATTGTGTTTGGTTATGTGCTTCTTGTGTTCAATGTTCATAGTCAATGGTCAAGCTGCTTATGTTTCATGCCATCTTTTTTCTGCCGTATGTATAGGTTTCATTAATTAATAGAAACATTAGAATCGTCTTAGTGACTCTTTCATTAATTTATAGAAACATTAGAATTGTCTAAGTAGTTCTTCATATGAGGCTAAGAATATTCTTCCACTTATTGAAATATTTGGAAACACTGATGACCTTGTTCTCTAGGTATTGCATAAGTCGTGAACATTATGTGTTAGTAAAACTCCCTGCAACTTTTCTCAAATTATCATCTGATACTTGGAGGTTGGTGGTTGACGTGTCATTTTAATATCTGCCTCGCATAGTTGCATTATTATTCCTTTCTTATGATTGCCATGATTGTTTTAGTGTACCAAAATCTATATTATATCAGTATTATGACCTATATATCTATTTATATTGAATTGAATTGAATTATAGGAACTTTAGAACCTTTTTCAAACCAGAGTTATCATTTTCTTATCCTGACATTTATGTATGCTGGTCGTTTTTTTAATCTGTAGAAAGTGTTATCTCATCTATGCCATTTGTACAAATGTTAATATCCTTTGCATTGAAGTTAGTGGTATGCGCTGCATTTCTATGCAGGCCAGACATTTTAAAATGTTCAAGGCTGACGAGTTGGCTGCAAAAAACTACATGTTTTCTGGAGATAACCAGGGGCTCCGGTCTCATTGCAACAAACAGGTAAGTGCAAGTTTTATCTTTGTCACAACCAGGTTCCATGGGCATCTTCTTATATAGTTATCAACAGGTGGAAAACATTATGAACCTCTGGAACAATAATGTTGAATTCCGAGAACAATATGTGAAATCCAACTTCAACAGTACAGTGAGGAGATTGGAAACTGCAGATGGAAGAGCACTTGGCCCTGGTGAAAAGGCACCCATCCTTCAATCTTATGCAGATAAAAGATCAAATATCGTTTCCGCGCCTTCATCAAGTATAGAAACTTCTGCTCCTGTTTCAGAGTCAGAAGTTAGACAAGGAAACTTGACTGAACCTTCAGCAATCAAACAAGCGCTGAGAAAAGATCTGTCAACTAAGTCTATATCTTCTACTAAGTCAGAAGGCAGTGTGCCAACAGTCTCTAGCAGTGAAGAATCGAAGGAAGAAGAGAAAAATAATAAGCTGACAAAAGAGGAAGAGGAGTTAGCAAGAAAAGCAGAGGAGTTGGCTAGAAAAGAAGCGGAATTGAGAAAGGAGAAGGCTGCAAAGGAAGAGGAACTGAGAAAACAGAAGGCTCTTGCTGAGAAGAAAGAACAGTTAAAACTAGAACAGAAAGCCAAAGCCAAGGAGGCTGAGGAAAGAAAGAGGCGGAAAGCTGAGAAGGCACAGGCAAAAGCTGAATACAGAGCAAAAAAGGAAGCCGAGCTCAAAGAACAGGTAATATAGTTTAATAGTATAAGCAATAATTTATTGAGTTTATTAGTGGGGGTCATTTTATCTAGGGATGTAATAGAGTCTACAAGATTGAAGCAGGTTTATTTCCTGCTCATCTTAAAGTCAAGGGTTCACTGTCGATAGAGCCATGGACAATCGTCCAATTGCGGATAGACCCCATGTAATTCTCTCATTGATAGACCCCGAGTAAAATTTTTTGGACTCTTTTACCCTCAGAGAGAGTTGTTTTTTTGGACAAATTGACCTCATGAGGGTAAAAAAGTCCAGAAGAACTAGGTCAGGGGTCTATCTGCAAGAATAGAACTACAGGGATCTATTTGCAATTGGATGATAGGACATGGGTTTCTTCATAATTAATCCTAAGGTCAGTTTGAGGGCCTTCAACCTTTTCCCAATCCAGTTGTTATTGGGTGAGAAAAAGGTCTAAACTGTTAAATTGTAACAAGGGTCATGTACCATGACTAGGTTTAAATTACAAAACATATAATATAATTTAAATAAAATACATATAATATACACTTAAACAACATTTATCACCCCTCCGGGTTATTTAGACTTTTAGTTCTACTGGTTAACCGAATAATGTCACAAAATATAAGTCATCTATCACATTTTCATTACCAAAAATTGCATAATATTCTTTACCAGACATGATCATTATGATTATACTGCATGGACTTTAAGATTCTTAATCCTTCATCTACTAAATTGAGCTCATGTTAATGTTTCTGCAGAAAAAAGCGAAGAAGAACAAAAAATCGAGCACTACAGACACAACCAATGTAATCACTGAAAGGGAAACTACTCCCGATCCTGAAACAACTACTACATCAGAAAACTTTCAAGAACCTGAATCCTCTTCTGTTGCTGCTTCAAGAAAGAGATCTTCCAAGCCAGTTTCATCGACGAGGCAATTTAACAAAGTGCAAGCTCCAGTTCCTTTGCCTCTTCGCAACAGAAGCAAGAGAAAGATGAAGACATGGATGTGGGTATCACTCGCTGTTCTCCTTGTGCTCGCCCTCTTCGTCGCTGGAAATTATATCTCCTTTTCTACGTCTAGCCTACCAAGCTTCAATATCTAATCGTATACATATATTTAATCGACATATGTTAGATGTTTGGTCTATAGCGGATAGGAGATTAGTGTCATTTTTTTGAGGATTGCTCTTTAGGTATTATCTCCTATATTTGGTTTGTTCTTCATTTCTATAGTATGCTCCTCGTGGTTTGAAATTACATTTCAGAGGCATATTTATACCATTATGATTTTATTTATACCAGCTTATTAAATTGGTTGCTTATGAGTGTAATAACGTTAATGGGAGGGTTTTGTTCCCATTTGCTCTTGTGGTTAATAATGGTGGTTTGCGTTGTTAGTGATCCTGTGCTCCTATTTTCTTTTCATTGGTGATATTACGGTGTAGCAATATTGAACATTTGATGTACTGGGGCATTTTAATTTGCCATGTTCGTGTTGTAATTTTATTGTAGCAACAATCTATTGTTCTTATTGTTACTACAATCTATTATTCTTATTGTTACTACCACTATTAATATTTCAGTGCATGCATGACACATAATATGAAGGAGTGTTAGAAGTGTTGGTTGAATTGTTAAGAGAAAAAAAAATGATTTATAAGATATATATATATAAAATCATGTCATTCCCTAATTTTTTTTGTGATCCGTTCCGTTGAACTTGATCTACACGTTCGTAAATCCAAACACACCAATTTTGAGGTGAACCCGTCGTGTTTTGACCCTTCATTCACTCACCGCAATTTTAACGGTTTCGAATGAATAGAACTTTTTGCACGGCTCAACGAATGGTCAAAACACGACGAGCTTACCCTAAAATTGATGTGTTTGGGTTTAAGAACATGTAGATCAAGTTTAACGGAGCGGATCGCAAAAAAAGGAATGATGTGATTTTAGGCCGCGTCCTTAGGTGAGAATATAATGTGTCGCCTTAGGAAAACATTACCATATATATATATATATATATATATATATATAGAGATATATAGAGAGAGAGAGAGAGAGAGAGAGAGAGAGAATAATGGAGGTGAGCTGGCAGCTCACCTCTCCCCATAGGCTGCACAGTCTATGACATGTGAGCCCACACCGATGTGACTAGTAAGGATTTCCTCCTGACGCCTCAAAAATCATATGATGAGCGACATTATGGATGATTCGCTCCGTTGAACTTGATTTACATATTCATAAAACCCCAACACACCAAGTTTAGGGTGAATTCGTCGTCGTTTTGACCCTCCATCGAGCCATGTGAAAAGTTCTACTTCATCAAAACCGTTAAAATTAGATACGAGTGGATGAAGGGTCAAACGACGACGGATTCACCCCAACGTTGGTTGTTGGGGTTTAGAATATGTAGATCAAGTTCAACGCGAGCGGATCATCACATAATATCGCTCCAATCATGTGATTTTAGAGACGTCATAGGAGGAAATCCCCTCTTGTAACCAACGGATACCATTAATTTCTCTCTCTCTCTTCTCTCTCTCTCTATTATATATATATATATATTACTATATTATATATATAGTATATATTATATATGATATATATATGAGAAAATTGGGTATGCTTATCGGCGTACCTCAAACATAAATTTTCTCGTGTGAATGTGAGGTGTTCATATTCTCATCCACTCATCTCCAATTCCCCAACGACTCCCCAACCCTATGTGAATGTGGGCCATCCGATTTCAATGAGTGGAGCGAGAATACGTCACCTCACTACTAAGCATACTCAGTTTCTCTTCAGTATTGAGATTTATTATATATATATATCATACTATATTATAATAATTATTATAGTATATATATATTATAAGTATCTATATATTATGAAACCTAAAGTTCGAGACATTCTGCATCCCCCCACCCCACCCCCACCCCCACCCCATCCCCACACAGAAGCGTAAAGGATTTTTCAAGTGAGGACGTTATGTTCCCCAACCCACCCAAGTGTAAGGGCATTTTCCATATTTCTTTTTCCAAGTGTGAGGGCATTTTCGTATTATTTTTCCAAGTGAGACATTCTCTTAGTTTTTGCAATTATTATGAGCCCATTTTAGGCACTCCAAAGTTTGTGGCTAAAATGAGAGCTTCCCTTTATGTATAGCATAGATTATACGCAAAAAGGAATAAGTTATTTTGAAGTATGTTATTTTCTTTTTGCGTTAATCTGATAGATTGAGGTTTATTTGATTGGTCATGGCTTTTGTAGTTTTATCCCTTTTTTCTAAGAAGCCTCCATCTTTTTTCCCATTCATTTTGTATTAATGAAATACTTAACAAGATACCTCTTTTCTAAGAAGCCTCCCATCTTTTTTCCTATTCCTTTTGTGATAATGAAATACTTAACAAGAAAACTTAGTGGCTTCTCAGAAAGAGGAAAATAAAACTAGAGGGTTTCATTGTCAAAAAACGGAAGTTAAGGGCTTCTTAGAGGAGACAGACAAAACTTGAAGTCTTTTATCGTCAAAAATAAAAGGTTGAGGGCTTCCTAGAAAAAAAGGATAAAACTTATGGACTCTTCAGACTATATTCACGATGTTAGGAGGTCTAAATGCTAATAAAAATGTTAAGAAAGTATAAGTGATTAACCCCAACAATACACGCATAAACAGCTTCATCCTTGTTGTGCATCACGGGTCGTTTAGAGCTTGCGACAACTTTTCTGGTCTGGTGACGCTAACACATTACATCTAAAAGCGAAGTCATCAAATTGCACAAGAACATGATTAAGCTATCAAATAAACTATTGAGCCATACAACTATAATTTCAAATCACGCCTCACCTCTAGGGGTGCATACAGTTCGGATATGGCTCAGATATGATGTTACTTTATCTATATCCGCTCACCAATCACGTATACGGAAACAAATATGGATATGCCTTAGTAAGGAAGCTCATACACATATCAGCTATATATATGTGTATACAAAATAGGATATGGGAACATCATATAATATAGGGAAAGTATAGTTCATATGGTACAAGAGATTCATTAATGTGTTCATTATATCCGAAATTCTAAGATTAAATTTGTTGATCATTAAAATTGGTCTCAAATCTATTATTATTAAAATAATTCTAGGTGTATGACCAACATATGTTCGGATATGGATATTGATATTTTACTATATAACCATATCCGTACCATATTCTATCGGTTATAGATTTTAGTAATAACATCCGTTTCCCAACGAATACGGTTACGGATATTCTTGTGGATACGGATACGATTGTGCACCCCTACTCACCACAATCAACAAGGATCAAGACTGCATTTATTTAACTTAATGAGCATGTTATTCTTCGTCCATAGTTAACAAAACATAAGAATTAAGAGCCATAAAAAAAAGATTAAGAGATTCTATCAGATTCTATCAGAACTTCCCCATAGAATAGGGTGATCTTTACTATTTGCTAATGGTTAAATGGTAAATTTCCAAATTTTAGCTATTTTGTTTATGATGCAAATCATTGCACTTTTATAAAAGAATGGTTCTAACAAGATTCATATTCCATGATCATATGATTTGTTTCTATATGAAGCTATAGGTATCTATGATTAAGAAAGTAGCCTCTTTACTGTGAGAATCTAAACCAATCTTTAGATGACATACAATATTTAGACCATATCATGGCATGATGGGTGGTAGGGGAGAAGAATCAAAGGATCCATATTTTCACAGTCTCTCCAATATTAAATTGCTCTGAGTTTTTCTAAGGACAAGTTGCCGGAAGACTTAGGCACATGGATGAAAATAGTCCTCAAGGGACCATTCTGTTCTAACAATGCATGTGCATTCATTGATTTGTTCTTGTGGGCATGGCTTTTTCAAGTTGGGCCCGTGAGCAGTGGCCCAATTTCACTTTCCTACCGGTCCGCCCATCACGAGTCCGTAAAATTAATTAACAAAACAAAGTGCAGGGTAACATTGTTAAATAGGTATAGGGCATTCTTACTTTTTTTACTTCTTTTAAGAGAAAATCATATAAAATTGTTGGTTTCAACATCAATAAGCAACTTTCCGGTTCCACGAATGATTTCTTTTTATTAGTATTAGTTTGATGCAGTACCTGATGATGCATGATATAATTAACCCATGGCACAAAGATCCTCTGAGTTAATAATATCGGTGGAGTCAATATGTTAGGGGAAAATGCTTCCCGCACCCAAAACGAAAGAAAACGCGCTTCCCCCTCTCAAGACTTTTTCAATGGGTGCTTTGCCCCTAAAAGCAAACTTTGTGTTCTCTGAGCCCCTAAAACACAAAACCCAAGAGATTTAAATTCGTGAAGACCATAATACCCTCCATGACCACCTCCTCCTTCCTCTCCAAACCCAGCGACCACAAACCTCCTCTCATCCTCCTCCTTCCATGACCTCAAGCTCTCCTTCGCCTTCAAAACCCAATCTTTCTCCTCCCCATCATCGCCATCCTCCGCCCCCCAAATCTCCACCTCTTACCACCTCTCCTCCCTCCGCTTCCACCCCATCAAAGAATCCATCATCTCCCGCGAGATGACCCGTTTGTACATTGACCGACTATGATCACCTACGCCTGACGAACTGACGTCGTCGGCGCGTGACGCGTGGCCGCCGGATCCGCCCCAACCTCTTCCTGCGCCCTACTGAGCCCTTCCAAGAACCTCGAATCAACGTCGCCATCATCGAGCTGGCAGTCCGTCTCCCGACGGCCCGCGCCTGGCTTCGGCAGCCACAGCCTCTTCTCACACCGATGGTCGTTCCGCTAGCCACCACACACAAACAATCCCCACCTCTTCCTCGATGAGCTCGAAAGGTCCCCTACGACAAGCAGGAGGACTACATCGTCATCAAGCACGCCGCCCTCTTCACCTCTACCATCATGAGCAAGCTGCTGATGCGACCTAACATGAAGCTGTTTAACGTGGTGGCGGCGGAGGATTTGATAATTAAGAACGGGAGGGTTGGGGGGTGGGGGGGGTCGTGATGAACTGGGCATTGGTGTTGATGAACCACGGCACCCAGTCGTGCATGGATGCGAACATGATGGAGGCCAAGGTCATGGTGGGCTCTTGTGGGCATGATGGGCCTTTTGGGGGCACTGGGGTTAAGAGGCTGAGGAGCGTTGGGATGATCGACACTGTGTCCGGGATGAAGGCGCTTGATATGTTAAGGTTGCGATTGTTAATGTTACGCTTTGGTTGTTAAGGTTATAGGTTAGCTGTTAAGGTTACGGTTTGGTTATTAAGGTTACAGTTTGGTTGTGAAGGTGACGAGTTGGTTGTTAAGGTTACAGGTTGACTGTTAGGTTACGGGCCCGTAACCTTAACAACTAACGCGTAATATGTGAAT